ATTCGGACTCGAACATGGTCAAAATTTGAAAACAAAAGCGATCATGAAAATACGTACTACAATTCAAGGGCGTGAATGCGCATCAAGAAACGTGCACAAAAACACTCGCTAGAAAAGATACGCACATGAGTAAAATTTCAAAAGCATGCACAAAAGTACTCACGCAAAAGTGCATTCGCAAAAAGGATCATGAAAACACAAACTACAACCCTAGGACATTAATACAAATCAACAAACATGCACAAACACGCTCCCTCAAATGGACATGCACAAAAACGTACATGTAAAAAAACATGCGCAAAAGTGCATCCGCAACAACATTCTTAAAAACACGAACTACAATACTATGACTTTAATACGCATCAACAGACCACAGCATATACACTAGATAGAAAAGATACAATTGAGTGTAGCAATAATACTCGACATTTACGTTTTCGTGGATTTTTGTTTGGATTAATTGATATTTCTGTTTTTATTGGTGGATTTGGTATCTCTGAGGTACAAATGGAAAATTAGGTGTCCATGAAGCAAAAATAATCAAAGGGTAAGAAAAGAGTTGCAATTGAAGGAAATAAAATCAAATTAGAAGAGAGAATCCCTCAACATCTTTGGTAGTGTCCACGAAGTCGAGCATAACTCTCTCATCGCGACTCCAAATCGACAGGTTCCGGTGGCATTAGAAAGCTATTTCAGTGGGCTACAATTCCCGTCGAACGTCAAAATTCCAAATTCGGACTCGAACATGGTCAAAATTGGATAACAAAAGCGATCATGAAAATACGTACTACAATTCAAGGACGTGTATGCGCATCAAGAAACGTGCACAAAAACACTCGCTAGAAAAGATACGCACATGAGTAAAAGTTCATAAGCATGCACAAAAGTACTCACGCAAAAGTGCATTCGCAAAAAGGATCATGAAAACACAAACTACAACCCTAGGACATTAATACAAATCAACAAACATGCACAAACACGCTCCCTCAAATGGACATGCACAAAAACGTACATGTAAAAACCATGCGCAAAAGTGCATCCGCAACTACATTCTTAAAAATACGAACTACAATACTATGACTTTAATACGCATCAACAGACAACATACACTAGATAAAAAATGTACAATTGAGTGTAGCAATAATACTCGACGTTAACGTTTTCGTGGATTTTTGTTTGGATTAATTTATATTTCTGTTTTTATTGGTGGATTTGGTATCTTTTAGGTACAAATGGAAAATTAGGTGTCCATGAAGCAAAAATAATTAAAGGGTAAGAAAAGAGTTGCAATTAAGAAAATAAAATCAAATTAGAAGAGAGAATCCCTCAACATCTTTGGTAGTGTCCACGAAGTCGAGCATAACTCTCTCATCCCGACTCCAAATCGACTGGTTCCGGTGGCATTAGAAAGCTATTTCAGTGGGCTACAATTCCCGTCTAACGTCAAAATTCCAAATTCGGACTCGAACATGGTCAAAATTGGATAACAAAACGATCATGAAAATACGTACTAGAATTCCAGGACGTGAATGCGCATCAAGAAACGTGCACAAAAACACTCGCTAGAAAAGATACGCACATGAGTAAAAGTTCAAAAGCATGCACAAAAGTACTCACGCAACAGTGCATTCGCAAAAATGATCATGAAAACACAAACTACAATCCTAGGACATTAATACAAATCGACAAACATGCACAAACACGCTCCCTCAAATGGACATGCACCAAAACGTACATGTTACAAAACATGCGCCAAAGTGCATC